AGCCAAAGAATTAAAGCTAACAAAACCCATTGATCATATATTTATAGAACAAAACTATCCGTTAGAACAATTACAATTCAAAAAAACTAGCCGTTTGGAAAAGAAAACACTCAACGGATCTATTGTGAAAACAAGTCTGAGAAGACATCTCTCGACTCGACTCTCGGAGTTTGTTCTCTGGTAGAAGAAGAAGAAGAAAGCCAAACTTATGGGCTTTCTGCGAAAAGCCCAATTTTTTAATATGGGCTTGGAGATTTACGACTAACAAAATGACGAATATATTCCTTAATAAATATAATTATCTTTCCACGAGAAAACCAGAACTTTCCAGCCGTTGGATTGAATAAAATCCGCCGGTTATTCTTCACACTTTTTTGTTTTTCTTTACGTGCATAGTGAAACTGACAAGTGTCAACGCTTGAGTGAAGAAATCTGCAATAATCAAGACATAACAACCGTACACGTGTCCAGATTTCTTGATTCTTCGACATCACCGCGTAGCTGAAACTAACCGCACGCCTGCTTTACATGTGGCAAAACCAAAAGCTCTCTCTTTCCTCTGTGTTTCGTGTACTTTGGACACGGCAAGTTTCTTTGATTCCTCTATAAGAACGCGTTTGAATTGAAGTTAATTGTTTTTTTCTAGACATTTCGAATCCCTAAATTGATACTCGGTAAGAACACTGACCCATCTCCAATTTATATACTTTCTTTTGCTTGTCTTTTTGGTATTCCTCTGCAAAAGATTTTTCTGAACTTAAATTAGGTTTTTTTTTTGTTCTTACGTTTCTGAAGCTCTTCGAGAACAGTTTTGAAGTAACCGGTAACATTTCAGAAGAATCTCTCTCTCTAGGTGAGTTTTTTCGTTGACTTCATAATTTGATAGTTATCTTGTGTTAAACTTGGCGAATTTTTTGTCTGTTTTGATGTCAATTTGGGCTTGGAATCTCCAGATTTCTGATTTTACGACCAGGGTTTTGTCTGGTTAACTGAAAGCTATGTCATTTTTGTGTGTCTCAACTTTCATTAGAGGAAATCCTCAAAGATTCGAGTTTTCTTGTTTGTGTCTCTGTTAGATGTTTCAATCTCTATGAGCAAAATCTTCATTTGGATTCAGACTAATTAACTTTGCTCTTCTTTGTGTGTTTCAGTTAAAAGCTATAAGAAGATGATCCATACACAAGATCCACCACGCTTGTTCTTCCGCTTTGGAAACCCTTTCAAGGTTCTGTTTCCGAAGAACAATGGACAATTATCGCCAAAGCTTCTCTCATTGTTGAACAATTTCGAGAGAGACTTGACGGTATCGATTAAAGAACTTATACCGAAGGATGAGAATGATATCATTACTGTTTCTTGGATGAAGCAAGCAATGGTATCTCTTTGCGAGACACACAAGAGTTTAAGGACACTAGTGACCGATCTAGAGCTTCATGTATCGGACTTGGAAGAAAATTTGATTTATTTGTACTCTGATGTTAGCTTGAAGCTTCTTGAACTCTGCAATGCCTTCACTTCAGAGCTTGATCGTCTTAACCATGGGAATCTATTACTCAAGTTTGCTTGTAGTAAGATGGAGACTAACTACTGTCTCGAGCTTCTTGATACCTGGAATCAGCACATGGTTTCCAAGAACCCTAGAATCGAAAAATGCGGTGCGGTTTTGAGTAGTCTTGTTGAATCGATGGATCATCATCGTCTCTCC